CAAGGGAACATTAGCCATTTTTTGGGAACAGGGGAACAAAATTCGAAAAATTACAAAGGGGAACAAATAATGAAAATGTGTGGGAACATGGGAACATAGGGCAATTTTGGAAGGGAACAAGGGAACAAAGACCCCCCCCCCGGGAGACCCTCATTCGACGGAACTACATCCCATCATGTAGGATGTAGGATCAACCTTCTCGTCATGCGCCGCGCGTATGTCGCATGTGTAAATCAGTTGGCCGCTGTACATGTATTTTCTATGGCCTGGTATGTATACAAAATAGTTATGCAACACCCTCTTGTGGTATACCATGGAATGTCACTCTCAACATTGCCCGAGCCTTTTGGCGAGTGCAGTTTGAGAGAATTATAAAACGTCAAGCGTACTGTAAATCCTTATTTTCTGGAGCTTTCTGTCTTACGATTACTTATTTCTTACTTCATACTGAGAAAATTACGGACGGACGTGCGTTATTTTTCATTTTGCATTTTTGCATTGCAGTGCAACTTGAAAATCAACGATTTTAAAATTGACCAGCTCTCAGCCAATCTTAATGACATAATTTTCTCTGTCGCTAATAGCTAAGTGCATGACCACTATAAATAAGATTTACATTTTTGTGCATATTAAGAATTTTAGTCCGCGGGTATCTTCCCCTTGTGAGTCCCTTGTGAGTTGCGTGTCATTCTCGTGCCTACTGAGCGCGGCTAAGGAAGACTGGGAACTAGTTTCTTTCAAATCGACAATAATGGCGGTGTCACTCGTTTTCGTTTCGCTCTCTTTCTGCCTTACAGCGACCCGTGGAGAAGAGATAGCGGGAGGTTTGTTGTAATGTGAATGATCCTGTTATGTTATCTTGTTTGTCTATTTCTACGAACGTGAATTGTAAAATATAAGACTTTATGCACTTTCGTGTCATGCCGCATATGCGCAGCGTTCGGTGGGTTTGGAAAAGAAAATCATGCTTTTCCCTGATGCCTTCACAGCTTAACTTCTCTTTGAGGGATTTCCCCTTTGCGAAATGTGACTAGGTTCTGGTTAGCCGGAATTAAGGGGCGAGGGTAAGGGTTTCAAAGATATCTCTCAGTTGTGAAGGTGCCAGTTCCCGCGAGTGTGTCCTTGAAGGGCCCTAGACAGTCACACGTTTGTTTTTGTTTACACGTGAGAGTTTGGCTATTACATTTTATTCGGAGCATGTCGAAACGAAGGGAATCACTGTGAAACTACCTGACCTTTGCTAAGTCCTCAAATGCCACCACTAAAGGGTTCCAGAAAATATCCATCCCCTCTCCCCGCCAGACAGAATGTTCTTTTGGTTGAGCCCACTCCTCCTCCACCCTCCTGGAAATGTAAGTTTTCCTTTAATTTCTTTTTTCTGGCCACACAGAATTTCTAATGGCCTTCTCCCTTTTCCCTTTTCCCTTCTCCCTTTTTCCTTCTCCCTTTTTCCTTCTCCCATTCCAAAAAAAAATGCTTGATTAGAGGTTAGGTTACAGGGACTCCTGCATCAAGTATGGTTAGGTTTATACACCTCATTTATGTTGTGTTACACTACATGAGAGTAAAACGGTTTGAACACCTAAAAGTATTTTAAAGTTAAAATCGCTTTGCCATAATTGCCACCCAGAATTACAGGTTTAGGCTGCTACTCTTCACAAAAATGGAGTGAAACTCATTGAGATTTGTGGTCTGGTTCAGAAATCAGAAACTAAGTACGTTAGACTGTAATTATACAATTAAAAAAAAGTTCACTGACTTAATCAAGTTTATGGCAGACAAATGTTGTCATTGGAAACCTGACGTATTTGTGTTGCAAGAAATTTTGTTATTGTCGTAGTGAGACTGTGTCATTGTGTTATTGTAGTAAAAAATAACTATGTTTTTTTTTTCAATCTCATAAAGGCAACAATTTCATCTCACAAAGTGCTGTTAGAACACTGATAGCTGTCATAGGAGTGACAATTTGTTTGGTAGTACTTATAAAGTGGTATTTCAGTGGAGGAGTATGCAAGAGCAAGGCACGATTGGATGGTAAGATTCACCATAGCATACTGAGTGACACTTCAAAAAGTGTGAATGTGCAGAATATAAAGTACAACTTGAAGGTTTTACTTCCAAAGGTGATTCACAGTTCATTTCATCCAGGCTATAGAAGTTTCAAATAAAGTGAGCTTGGCCTCAAAATATGTATACTTTTTATTTCTAGCCTTTCTTTGACCTAACGAAATCTGTAGTGATACTGTAGAGTTATGTCTTTGCCAGATAGAGGTTAATAATCTTGGGTCTTAATATAATAATTATTGTCAACTTTTCAGATGCATTGCCTGCAATCTACAGTGCAAAATTTGCTTGTTTATTCGATTTGTGTCTTTGCAGGAAAACAAGGCAATTTGAGTCAAACAATTGGGGCAAGAAAGTGCAGAATGATAGAGTTTTGCACAGTATGCTAGCATTTTTGTGAACATTTCAGTAGGATTTACCCCCAAAAACTTTTTTTCTCAGTTCAGCAAAAAATACAAAAGTCTCTAAGAGAAAGTGGCAACTGAAACTAATGCCAAGCAATGTATAGCACGACTTTTTGTGTTAATTTCAACTACAGTGAACTACTTTCAACACAAAAATTAGCGAAAGCAATTAACGACATTTTGACCTTGGTTTTCACCAAATTTTTTGTTGAAAATATTCCTTTAAGCCTTACTTAGTGAACTACAGTGCTTAGTCTGTTAAATTAGGATGCCAAGGTGACTGATATCTTTTTGTTCTGTTGAATTTGCCTGTCTGAGTATTTTAGAGGTGAGTTTTATAGGATAGTCAGAGCATTTAAGTGGGAAAAAAGGGAGCATTAAGTACAAGCATTCCAGTGGAGAAGACACAGGACGAAACTAGTAAAAGCCTTTGTGGGGACAGTGTATGAGTAGGGATATGGAGAAAGTTTAACCCCTCGTCCTTGTACTTTTTGACCTTCTCCAGTTTTGCTGGCTTGTTTTTCTGTGACTACACTACAGTCTTACAGTAACACTGATTTTAAAAGGGTTTTATTGCTGTTATGTTTAGGCAAGACTACAATTGTGACAGGTGCCAACACTGGAATTGGAAAGGAGACAGCATTGGATTTTGCAGAGAGAGGTGCCAGGGTCATTTTGGCTTGCCGAGATGAGGAGAAAGCCAAAGATGCTGCAAGGGACATTGTTGCTGAGACTGGAAGTGATAAAGTTGTTGTCAGGATTCTTGACCTGGCTTCTTTTGAGTCTGTCAGAGCTTTTGCTAAGCTCATCAATGAAACAGAAGAGAGGCTGGACATTCTTGTAAACAATGCAGGGCTT